CAGACAGTGAACCGGATTTGAGAATTCAGCGGAGGAATTTGGGAACAGAGGAAATTGGGAGCATGCTGAGAGCACACTGCTTTCACCACAATAAAATGAACTGAAAATGTAATTTTTAACTATTTAAGTAGGGTATAGGAAGGCTTACTTGGCTGCAGCGTGGTCAAGTATGCCCAGTTGAAGGGCCGTCATTGAGCACTCAGTGAGGCTGGCATGACAAAAGCCCGTGTCCCCGGTTCGGCCTACTTCAACCGTCCCCAGCAAAGCCTCTATCTGAATTGTCAGCAAACCATAGGATCTACCTGAAAGAAAGTACACAGAATCGAAATATGTTCATTGTGTCCACGCTGATCTGATCCCCAGTCTCAGGTTTGTCCTACTCCAAGTGTCACCATCAAAATCGCTATCTGAATTCTCCGCAATCCATAGGATCTTCCTGAGAGTAAACGCACATGTTTCAAAGTTTTTTTACTCTTTCCACGCTGATCTGATCTGTTTGCTTACCTTTTAGGGAGAAGGTGGAGGAGAAACGTGAGCTGATTCGAAAGGGGGTGATAGCTCCACCGCCAAATACGCCACCACAGTACGGAGCGCCGCCGCCCAAACTGATGGAGGGTGTTGACGTGCTGCACAGAGATGATGTGAAGTCTGAGGTGTTGGAAGAGGCCATCAGCCTGGTGCGAAACAATGAAGACAAGTACAAAAAGGACTCCGAGTTTGCCCACTTCCTGAAGGACGAGATGGAGCGGCTACACGGCCGCTACTGGCACATTATTGTCGCCAGCTCGACAATGGGCTGCGCTGTCGGTCACGAGGACAAACACTTTATTCACTTCCGTTACAAGAATCGTCTGTACATCTTCTATCGCACACCCGAGCCGAATTAATGCGCTCCCTGCCCCCTTCTGCTTTTATCCCCTTATAATTTTCAAGTCTCTCTCTCTCGCGATGTCTCTCTGTGTACACCCATTCAATAGAAAATGTTAACACTCTATAGGAAACACTTTGTTCTACTGCTTGGATACGGGGATTTAAAAAAATTTCGATTGGAAAGGACGCCTAGGATGGCGGGGAGATAGTATCGATTATCATGAGGCAAAAGCCCGAGATACTTTATTTAAGCTAGGATGTCGGCTTATAAATGAGTTCCCTCTGGCCGCTGGCAAAATTCATATATGGCAAAAATTGACTAAACTTTTGGCGTGACATGTTCACTTTCATTTTTACAGTAAATGTGTATTTAAAGATATTCCTTTTGTGTCCAGCTGACAGAAAATATGCTTTCTTCAAAGTTAATACTCGAAAACGGTCTATTAGAGGTCCTATCATGGGAACCAAAATTGCAGAATGCTTTACTACGGCATCGAAGGTAATGGGGCTTGTGTGGGTTAAGATTTAAGGGGGACGCGAGAGAGCAAGTGAAAGAAACGTGGGAAGCAGTTCAGGAAATGGAAGCTTAAATTATTATAAAAAGCCAAAATATAGCAACGCAAAAGGCGTAATAAGTGAAAAATAAATTGAAATAAGAATAAAAAATGAATTTAATTGGATCAAGCTAATTAATATTACTTTTAGCATTAATTGCACGATCACAGCTCTCATAAAGTCTTTAATTACTCCGTTCGCTGGTGCTGGTTTACGAGAAATTGGCATTTTCATGAAGGTCAGCAACTTGCATGAGAGAAATCACGTACTGTATGAATCGACTTACAGTATGCAATTTTGAGACAAAAAGGCAGGCAAAAATGCTATTCCAGGTTTAAAAATTCCTTGGCATTCCAGTTTTTACAATTAAAAGATACTCTTTATTCAAGAGGACCATTTAAAGAAGACGTGATTTTCTGACAAATAAATAAAAAGGAACATTCTTTGTGCAGCATGCGTTCAGTTAATCACACCTGAATGCAAATAGGCATTAAAAATCAAAGGTAAAATTCTACCCCTAATGAACCGGCTTTTTAGTGCCAAGGGACATTTTTGCAGGTGGCTGGAAAGAGGCTGATTCAAAGTTCTGTACCCTCTAGTGATTTAAGTATCCTGGAAATGTGCAATTTGTAATTGGCAAAAGATTTCAGAATTTTGATTTGCGTTTCATAGAACAAACCATCTGTCGTAGTTTTGAACCAACTTTAAAGCCTTTTTCCATACGTAAAAAAGTCAACAATTCTACGAATTGTAAGTCTGCCAGAGAGGTAACACCGGGTTGTAAACCGGCAGGTATTTTACTTCCGAGCTACTGACGATTATATTCTACTGATCGTATGCATAGGGTAAGAAACTCTCAACGTCCATTCGGAAAACAGTCTGAATATCTGTTTGGCATAATTAACCAAATTGGGTCAACTTAATTAAGCAAATCTGCCAAACCTCCTAAATAGTTAAGTCAGCCTAGTAGTCATTCTGGTGGATCCTAGATGATTGCCCAGGAAATCCTGCCTGGGCAGTCAACTTGCTGTTCTGTATTGGTGGATTCCATACGAGCGATAAAGTTGGGTGGGTAAAATCGATCCAAGTGTGATTAAACTGACGGTGCTAGGCGGGGCATTTGTAGCTCAACTGGTAGAGCATTGGCTTTGCGTAAAGACCTAGCCTACTATTCGGATTCAAATCCCGCCGAATGCCGCGAGTTTTTCCACAATTGGGTCAACTAACAAAGAAAGTTGTTATTCGGGTATCTCTTAATATGAGGATATCAGTCCACGCTGCCACCTGGAAACAAAACCCGCAAACTGTCAACCGTTCACTTACTAGTGGGGATAAAATGGCAAAGAAGGTTTTGATGTTTTGAAGTTGCAATTTAACAACTTGACTGAACACTTTGGACCCGTATTTTCTCTTACCGAGATTCCCATCTGGAAGAAGCCATTGCAGGAGTCAATGACGGGCGAAACAGAGTGTATAATTGCGACCTTGTTGGAAACCAGGTTACAGTTGTCTTTTGTGCACATCTTGGGCCGCATTCCTTTCAGCTTTTCACTCCAAATATACAATGGACAGGATTCTTGGTGAAGATACGCTAGTGCTTACAACACAGCTAAGGTAAAATACTATTAGTTATCTAGTTTAGCATGATATCTAC